TACAGTATACATGGACAATACCCGGTAAATTGATGTTGTTTTATTTATAATATAAGGAATTCTTACGCTTCTTGAGCAGCCTTTACTTGAAAGGAATACAAAAATGAGAAGAATACGGTTATTTTCCTTACTTACGGAGACGATATTGGTTATAAAATATAATGTATGTTGAGATATTGTGATCCATATTCCAACCAAATCTTATGATATACTCTATCCTTACTGTTATCTAAAGGATTAAGTTTTTTGTTTGTTTTTGCTTGTATTTCACGGCGCATCAATACTGTTAATGTCATATGACGATTCTACACCAATTAAAACTGGGGGGGGGGGTCCCACCCTGCATTATCTCAGGCATGAACTGGGATCTTAGTAGAACCACCGGTGTTCCGTAAGATTATCGGATAGCCAACTAGCATGAAAACACAGCCACTTTAAAATGTGACATTATGTCCATCCATGTGTATGTCACGGTTCAGAACTGTTTACTAATTAGGAGACAAAATGTGTAAGCGCCCGGATAGCTCAGTCAGTAGAGCCGCGGAACGGTATTCCAAGGGTCCCGGGCTCTAATCCCGGTCAGGCTGCACATTTTCCTCACCCTGTGACATCCTGTGAAATTTGGCCTTTACGTTGGGCAACAAGTATATGTTGAGAGTAAGTTAAAAGTAAAAAAAAAAGTTTACATTTTGTCATACTTTCTATTCTACTTTCAATGAATATTCACGTGGAACACTGTAGTTTGTATAAATATCCTGACACGCAGTTGATAAAAAGAGAGGATCAGCTTCTTTTTTTATCTTTTAGGCAGTTTTAAAATTTTACCAAAGCATTTCTAATTATAAGTTATTGGTCAGTCACCATTTAAATAGTCAGTATTTTGAAATGTATATAATATTATACTCTAACTCGAAATCGAAAAAAATGATCATACTAGCTGTTACTTAAACACCACTTGTGACATTGTCGTACATGTTTATATTACATACATTATCACAGCCGGTGTATGGTTAACATCTCCATATGTCACAGAAATGTATTCAATAATATATCATTTATAATTAATTTTTACTTTATACTTTTCTAGGACTAAAGATTTTCCGGACTTACCCAATAGTAATTTGTTTATGCGTTGGCTACATCTATATATGTATGAATTTTTTCGTTAAAACAACTCCGGAACACCGTATTACACACAATCAAATGACTGTTATTACTTATTTCACGGATAAAGGAGTTGATGGCGAAACTAGAGCGAAAACTACAAAAGTAGATAAGCAAACAGACATTCGCAATATTTCTTAATGCAATATATCTAGCTATATTGCTTATGGTAGTGGCCTTTGTCTTACAGTGTTGTCCAAGAGAAAGATTTCTTTACCATCAGATGTAATAATGGGTAAAACGTTAAAGCTGAGTCAGCAAAAAATAATGAAGACTAAAGCAGGCAGTAAAAAACATCTGAACGATTATTTATTGTCAAGAGAAGAAAACTGTAGCATTGATAAGGTTATTCAACATTGTCACACTTTAAGGGAATCGTATATGTTTGGAAAACATAACACTTCGACTGAAGAGAAGTTGTATCCGCTAGCTTTTACAATGAAAATTCATACACACGGTAACCAAGCACACAGACTTTTAAGATACATTTATCATCAACATAATATATACTGTATACATATCGATGGAAAGGCAAATATTGAAATCTACAAGAGATTCAAACTAATTGAGTCATGTTTTGACAACATTATTGTTATCGAAGATCGAGTACGTGTGGTTTACTCAACAATACGTGTTGTAGAGGCAGAGCTAAAATGTATGAAAGCTTTAAGTGGATCAACAACGAAATGGAAATATTATATCAATTTAACTGGACAAGAATTTATGTTGAAGACCAATGCAGAACTTGTGAAGATATTAAAAGCTATGAATGGAACTAATGATATTGAAAGTTATCCGGTACCATTTACAGAATATCACAAATTCAAACAAAAAACATTAATCATAAACGAAAATCCTATAATAACGCGTCAAAAGAAGCAAGGATTTCGTCAAAACATTATAATACATAAAGGAAGTGCCTACGGAATGTTCAGTAGAGAATTTGTAAATTTCATTTTAAATGACAACTTTGTGAAAGATTTTTTGATTTGGTTAAGAGACACTTACGCTCCAGAAGAATAAATCTGGGCAACATTACAAGTGTTGCCAGGTACTCCAGGAGGGCGTTCCAACTCAATGTCCACTAAAGACATTTATATTTCACGGGCTGTCAAGTGGCAAATGGATCAAACAGTAACTTGTCATGGAAAATACGTACACTGGATTTGTATTTATGGTCTAGAGGATCTTCCATGGCTGCTTAGTCGTAGAAATATTGTTGCAAACAAATTTAATGAAGACTTTGACCCACTTGCCTTATATTGTGTTGAAAATATTATGTATTTAAGGTTAATGTATGGTAAATGATCACTTTGATCTGACTTAATACAACAGTAATTATCAAGAAACTTTCACACACAATTAAGTGTTGTTTCAAACTAAGTGTTTCAGTAACTTTATCTTGGAAAAGTACATCATATCGTTGTCAAGTCTTCTTAAAAACAACGCCCCGATATATATTTTATAGCGCGCCAGTGACATTCGTTTCTCGGGAAACGAATCGCCACTTTATTAATTTACATATTGAGAGCGTAACGGTTAATGAGACCTTCTTGTTTATGTATGTTATCTACGGCAAATTTCAGTTTCCACCTTAGTCACTTTGATATGACAATTATATGAAACGATTTATTTATAAGCGACTTAAATGTGGATAGCCATGACATGGGTCTCAGAATGTATAAGTAATATACTAGTTCTTTGCTCACCGACACATAATTATCATTAATCTAACTAACATATTTAACCTTTAGGAGAGCCAAAAGCCGCTTTTAAATAAGCGACTCAATTAAAAATCCGGCTCTAAATAGCAAATATTTAAGGATTTCGTAGGTTTGTTTTATTTTTCCATAATAAGGCCCTGTCGCAGGAAAAAAACTTGATTCATAATAATGCTAAATGAATATGGCAACTTACATAGCAATATTTATATATATTTGACCTTTATTCACAAATTTGCCAACTCTTTTTAACATGAATAACAATAATTAAATGGATGTGAAGTCAAGTCATAACGCAACAATTTAAGACTTCTTGCAAAAGTTTAAAATGCTGTCATATCTTTGTATGGTCGTCACACAGAATAAATATAATATTAGAGTCGAGTTCAAAGCAGGGATTTAAATGCAAATTCTTTTATTTTATACTATTAAACTAAGAATAATGAAGATCTTCATTGTATTACTTAGCGCAATATATTTGGCCTAGTCAAGTTCGACTAGATTTTCACTGTCTAATTTGGTTGGTTGAAAAAATAATGAAAAAAAAACAACAACAAAAAAAAAACACAAAAACAACAACAACAAGACACTCGTACTAACTGGCCTAAACCTAGTTTTGAAATAACTAATTTTAAACAGTTTTGCATAGCATGTTTACTTTTAATTGTATTTACTTATTTACTCACTGATACTAGGAGTATGGTCATGATGTTTTTAGGAAGAAAGGGTGACTGATTAACTTTCAGAATTTATTAAAAAAATGAAACAACAACAAGAAAAACCCCAAAACAGCAAGCAAACAAAAAAAAAAAAACAAAAAAAAAAAAACAAAAACATTTGGTGAAATATGGACATAGCTGAAATTTTGCACTGAGCCATCGATTGGTAATAATATCTAATAACGTGGTTTGCCTAGCTAACAAGATACACCAATTAGGATGTTATCTTTAAAGCGGAAATCGGTTTTTTTGTATAAGAAAGTAAGTAAGTAAATATTTTATATAGTGACATGTGTATGACAGTTTACAAATAACGAAATTAAATAATTTAACATAACACCCGCCCAATGGACCAATAAGTCACCTGAAACATATTTACATTCTAAATAGTTCACATGAAATTATTATACTGTACACATCATCAATATTACAGGATAAATATTTCGATAAATATTTCAACGATTAAACAAGGATTTCTTTCTTTTAAGATAAGCATTAACAAGGTATTTAGCTACTTTCGTGGAAAACTTACAACAAGATATTTCATTTTCATATCATCGTTCATGTTCATAAAATCTTCATTCATAAATTGTTCACTAAAAATGTCTACTCTGATGTTGTTGTAAAAGGGACATTGGACTAAAATGTGTTTTTCATCTTCTATTTTATTATCTGGACAAAACAAAAAAAATCTCTGTATATCTAAGCTTAGGTAACAAGATTGACCAATTAGGGTGTTACCTTTAATAGAGCGATTTTACTGTGTTTCTAAGCTTAGCTAACATGATTAACAAATTAGGATGTTACCTTTAATATATCAGTTTTACTTTGTTTCTAAGCTTAGTTAACATGATTGACCAATTAGGATGTACTCTTTAATATAGCGTCTGTACTGTGTATCTTAGCTTAGGTAACAAGATTGACCAATTAGGGCGTTACCTTTAATAGAGCGGTTTTACTGTGCATCTAAGCTTACCGAACAATGCGCTAAGAATTATTGGTTATTTTTAATAGACAAATTTTACTGAGTATCTATATAGACCTACATAACAAGAACAAGAATCATCAACTGGTACCTTAAGCATCACTGGTTATGTTTAGAGGGGTTTTACTGTATATGTCACACTCAAAAACAAACTCAAATATAACAGTTGAAATAATTCAACATTCACATCTGTTTCACTTGTTTAGTTTTTTATGTAACTGTCAATTATTTTGTTGTAAATAAATGTTCATTTGATTTACATCTTCCTACAAATTATATAAACGTTCGTTTAGAATTACATTAGACAAATATTACAACTCTCTATATGTGTCAAAGGATGTTATCAATTATGTAGTGGTTTTTACCTGGTCACGTCAGGAAACAGTAATTGAAATACAATAGTCTGAATTATTTAGCGCTACAGTTGGTGATATTATACAGTATACATATACAATACCCGGTAAATTGATGCTGTTTTATTTATAATATAAGGAATTCTTACGCTTCTTGAGCAGCCTTTACAAAAGGAATACAAACATGAGAAAAATACGAAAAGGTTGGTTATTTTCTTACTTACGGGACATATGGTAAAATATAATGATGTTGAGATATTGGAATATTCACAAATTTATATATCTATCCTATGTTACTTTAGGTAGTTTTGTTTTTTTGCTTGTATTTTACGCCTCTAATACTTAATATATGCATTTCCAGCATTTAGAACTGGGGAATAAAGAATCAGTGTCCGTCTGCTTATCTCAGGCATACTGGCATTTGTAGAATCGGTGTCGTTAGCTTATCGATGAACCCGATAAGGTTTAAAATGTACGTTTTGTATCATGTTATTCCTCAGAATGTTTCTATTAGGAGACAAATGTTAAGCGGATAGTAGTAGTAGAGCCGCGACTATTCTGAGGTCCTGACGGTCAGCTCCATTTTTCTCACTGTGAATCCTGTGAATTTGGCCACTGGGTATAGTTGAGAGTAGTAAAAGTAAACAAAAATTACATTTTGTTATATTTGTTTCCTATTTAATATTCTACTTTTATGAATATTCACGTGGCACACTGTAATGTGTATAAATAACATGACGCACAGTTGAAAAAAAGAAAGGGTCAGCCTCTATTATATTTTAGGCAGTTTTAGAATTTCACCAAAACATTTCTAATTATCAGTTATTGGTCAGTCACCATAAAAATAGTCAGTATTTTAAAATGTATATATAATTTAACTCGACATCGAAAAAAATTATCATACTAGCTGTCACTTAAACATCACTTGTGACATTGTCTTATAAGTTTTTATTACATACATTACCACAGCCGGTGTATGGTTAACATCTCCATAGGTTACAGAAATGTTTTCAATAATATATCATTTAATTTTTACTTTATACTTTTCTAGGACTAAAGATTTTCCAGACTTACCCAAAAGTAATTTGTTTATGCATTGGCTACATCTATATATGTATGAATTTTTTCGTTAAAACAACCCCGGAACACCGTATTACACACAATCAAATGACTGGTATTACTTATTTCACCGATAAAGGAGTTGATGGCGAAACAAGAGCGAAAACTACAAAAATAGATAAGCAAACAGACATTCGCAATATACCTAAATGCAATATGTCTAGCTATATTGCTTATGGTAGTGACATTTGTCTTACAGTGTTGTCCGAGAGAAAGATTTCTTTACCAACAGATGTAATAATGGATAAAATGTTAAAGCTGAGTCAGCAAAAAATAACGGAGACTGAAGCAGGCAGTAGAAATCATCTGAACGATTATTATTCATTGTCAAGAGAAGAAAACTGTAGCATTGATAAGGTTATTCAACATTGTCACACTTTAAGGGAATCGTATATGTATGGAAAACATAACACTACGACTGAAGAGAAGTTGTATCCGCTAGCGTTTGCAATGAAAATTCATACACACGGTAACCAAGCACACAGACTTTTAAGATACATTTATCATAAACATAATATATACTGTATACATATTGATGAAAAAGCAGATATTGAAATCTACAAGAGATTCAAACTAATTGAGTCATGTTTTGATAACATTATTGTTATCGAAGATCGAGTACGTGTGGTTTACTCAACAATACGCGTTGTAGAGGCAGAGCTAAAATGTATGATAGCTTTAAGTGCATCAACAACGAAATGGAAATATTATATCAATTTAACTGGACAAGAATTTATGTTGAAGACCAATGCAGAACTTGTGAAGATATTAAAAGCTATGAATGGAACTAATGATATTGAAAGTTATCCGGTACCATTTACAGAATATCACAAATTCAAACAAAGGACATTAATCATAAACGAAAGTCCTATTATAACGCGTCAAAAGAAGCAAGGATTTCGTCAAAACATTATAATACATAAAGGAAGTGCCTACGGAATGTTCAGTAGAGAATTTGTAAATTTCATTTTAAATGACAACTTTGTGAAAGATTTTTTGATTTGGTTAAGAGACACTTACGCTCCAGAAGAATTAATCTGGGCAACATTACAAGTGTTGCCAGGTACTCCCGGAGGGCGTTCCAACTCAATATCCTCCAAAGACATTTATATTTCACGGGCTGTCAAGTGGCAAATGGATCAAACAGTAACTTGTCATGGAAAATACGTACACTGGATATGTATTTATGGTTTAGAGGATCTTCCATGGTTGCTTAGTCATAGAAATATTGTTGCAAACAAATTTTATGAAGACTTTGACCCACTTGCCTTATATTGTGTTGAAAATATTATGTATTTAAGGTTAATGCATGGTAAATGATCACTTTGATTTGACTTAATACAAGCAGTAATTATCAAGAAACTTTCACACACATTTAAGTGTTGTTTCAAACTAAGTGTTTTAGTAATTTTATCTTGGAAAAGTACATCATATCGTTGTTAAGTCTTCTTAAAAACAACGCCCCGATATATATTTATAGCGCGCCAGTGACATTCGTTTCTCGGGAAACGAATCGCCACTTTATTAATTTACATATTGAGAGCTTAACGGTTAATGAGACCTTATTGTTTATGTATTTTATCGACGGCAAATTTCATTTTCCACCTAAGTTCCTTGATATGAAACGATTTATGAATTATCTATAACTAACATATTTAACCTTTAGAGAGCCAAAAGCCGCTTTAAGCGACTCAATTAAAAATGTGGATAAGCCATGACTTGGTCTCAAGTCATGTATAAATTAACATACACTTAGTTCTTTTGCTCAGCCGAAACATTTTGAAAGTCCAATTTCTAAAAAACGATCGTTTTTATTAATCGTATAAATAAACAAGATCGAGATTGCACGTGTATGTTGCTGGTCGGACTGTCACTTAGATAAGCACGTAAATGTTATTTGTACTAACATTTCCGAAAATATCCTTTACAACACATTGGGGGATAAATTGATAATGTTCAATCGGCTATGTCTCAATACAGAAGTTTTCAATATAGTGTTTTACCTTTGTTAACCGCATCTTTTTAAAGGAAATATATTCCCTTATCTTTTTTCCATAGCACGGTTTGTTTTCTTTGTGTGAGATCCTTAGATTACTTAGATTACTTCATGTATTCCCTATATACATTTGTAATAAATTAACAAAAAAAAAAAGAATACATGTATATATTTTCGGAAATGTCCAATTACACCTTAGTTAAAAGCTGCACGCCTCCAGATGAGCCAAAATATTTCAAGAAAATCAATATTGAGAAAAATACACTGAACTTTTAAGAAAGGTAAAAACATTCAAGATCAAAGTTATATTTTACATGTTATGTGTGGTTTAACACTGATTTTACAGTATTATATCACCATATTTCTACTACGTTACTAACGTTGTCATATGTTTACCTCTTTTTGGTAATTGTCGTGGATTGTAAGTGCCGATTGCCATATGTTATTTACTTTATTTGTTCACCTCACATTAATTTGCTTTTAAAAACAATTTCATTTTTTTATGAAAAATTAACATGATTCTGGAGGCATCCTGCTTTAAACATAATTTGTCAAAAATGCTGCAAAAGATGTGCATTATACTTTATTTATTTGTTTTCTTGTAAAACCTTTGTATATCCTTATTGATAGGATGGTATCTGTCCCATTTGTATATAAAATGAAATATTATTATTTAATTTATTGATTGGTATTAGTCATTTGACTCTATTATATGTCTATACAGATTATACGTACGTACTGTGTACGCATGGATATATTGCGCAAATGTATTTTGAAATAAATTTGAATAAATTTTTGAAACACTTTATTATCAATCGCCAAAGTTCATTGCTCTTAAAAAAGCTATTCTAACTTTACTCTTGTAAAAATGTGTTATAATTGCTTGAAATATATAATAATTTATTATATACAGGATTGATGACACTGATTTAGGCACATTTTTAATGTGACCCTGGAAGATACACCTACAAGATACATAAACCAAAGGTCAACAAGTCAATATGACCATTAATATAAGTATTAACTAGTATCTTTGATTTAAAAATGTTCAGACCTGAGACTGTCGGTAACATAGGCTATTTACCGTACACACGTATTAAATGTAACTAATATACGGAATGTATACCGTGGGTAACCCGGTTCCGACGATATGTAGAAAGCTGTGTTGGAAGACTCTACAAGCTTGTTTCATTCCGAAGATGTGCAGGGTACAAGGTATAATAAGAAGAGAACATTAAATGAGTGTAGGTTCAATACGAAATTTATTGAACGAGTTGAATAAAATAACCTACAAAAACTCCATTTTTGCGTTCTTACGAAAAATTGTTCAATTGTTGTGTCATTCGACTACGAGACATTAGTCTAGGAAACAAAACAATACTAAACAACTGACAATGTGCGACATCAAGCTTTCAGATAATTCTTATATGTGCAGCACTAGCGCTCTATGGTCACACCAACTTTATTCTAAGTTACAATATGGACTCCATAAACGCATCTGTTATGAATATAGAAATAATTGGTAAAGTGACTGACCAATAATGAATGAACATATTGGGGAAGCAAAGCCTGCAATATCCTTGATTCAGCCCAAACTGTTTGAGTTAGAAAATGAAAAATGGATATACATGTATATGTTAGTTAGGGATCAGTTCGTTGGAGGAAATTGTGGTAACAAACTCAGAGCATATAGATTGCTTAAGTCAGATTTTGAAACTGAAACTACCTCTCTAAGTAGGTCTGTATATACTAAATTTAGATATCGTGTAGCTCCTCTTAGATTAGAGACTGGAAGATATGAAAATTTACCTTTAAATACAAGATGCTGTTTTAACTGCGAAGGTGTTGCTCTCTTTTATTGCCCTTTATATGATGAAGTCAGGGCTGTTTTAGTCTCAGCTTTAAATGATATACATTATCATCATCACAAGCCACAGTAGCATTTACAGCTAAAACTACATGCCATATTGACTCACAAATAATTCCCGAATTTTTATGTGTATAATATGGCCCTTAATAAATTGCAAAACACGTTCTTTCAATTGATATTAATCACTTTAGAGTCCGATTCCTGGAACTTATCAGTACTGGTGTCAAATGAGGAAACATAGTCATGACCCGAGTTGGGCTCGAACCCATAATTCTAGGGTTTAGAGGCAAACATCTTAGCCATTAGGTCACCGCCACCCCTTATCATTGTGTCAGCCATTCATAAGGAAAGATAGCTAGAGTTTTAATGGCACATTTGATGCAACCATGCAAAAAGCAAACGTTAGAATGCATGTTAAAATATGTCAAACAGTTTGTTCGAATCAACATCAATGCGTACAATCATCATTTCTTAAATAACCATGATGAATTGATTGTATTAGGAATAAGAAGTTATAAAAGTGGAGTGAACAGAACTCCATTCATACTATCCCCTCTCATGTTCACAACTGCAAAAATACACGTGAAGAAAATAATTTATGAAAATGTTCAAAAATCGTTTTTTTTTTTCATGATTAAATTCGTTTTTGATTTTGCTTATATCCAAGTCACGACATAATATGTAAAGTACATCGGTAAATCAGGATTGTTGCGCGTAGGATAAACTAACAAAAACCGTATAATATGTTTTATAAACATAAAAGAGAAAAATTGTTTTGAATAAATTTTAATGACGACATTGGAATGGCTAGGTCCGAAAATATAGATATTCATAAATTAACGAGAGTTTGTAAAACAATAATATAAAATCGTGATATTTAATACTTAAAAAAGTAAAAGCATGTATATTCAACATGGCAATACATCTTATTAAAAACATAGGACACACATGCCCCATTACCATATTTATACAAATTCCATGAGTCAAGGGCTATAACTATGACAGCACTAACAAAATATATAAATGATATCCCCGATGCACAACAACATATGCTGACCAACATTCTTGTAAGGTTTCTTGACTCTGCTTTAAACACCTTTTAGCTAGTCAGCCACACAAGTGGAAATTTCAAATTAAAACTCAGTAAAGGACAAAACCTCTGGCATTACTGTGCAAATCCACACGAAAACCTCACGAGCACAACAATATATATGCTTACAAACATTGATATGAAAGTTAATGACGCTAGCTATATATAATTGTTTCTTAACAACATGCATGGCAAGTTGAAACTTGCTGATTTCGACTAAGTAAAGGCTATAATTCTGGAATAAATGCGGAAAAATTAACAAGCGAAACCCAATGTACACAACTTCACATCCTGTGCAATACCCACGTAAAATTTCAATACCTTAGCTCAAATACTGTTTTGTCTACATGCGACAAATTTATAAATTGCAAATTTGTACTAAGTGAAGGCATTACTGAGGTAATCGACATAAACCTCAGGTGCACATACATTCATGTATGTTTCATGACAATGCCCCTAGTTCAAATACTGTTGAAGCTACACGCGACATAAGTTGACAATTTCCGATTTGACTAAGTCAAGGGCAATACCTCTGGCATGACTGTTCAAATCGATAAGCGAAACCCAAGGTGCACAATAATATAATGCTGACCAACGTTCATGTAAAATTTCATGACCCTAACTAAATTATTTACGGGGCAACACTAAAGATTCCGGGACGGACAGACGCAAGTAGACAGGCACAGGCGCATGGACAAGTAAAAAGTTAAAATACCCATCCCCCTCGATATTTTATCTTCAAGTCAATAAATATTAATAACGAAAATATTTAGCACATATTTTCGACAAAGCCAGTCGCTGTGTATGGACACAGAAGTCATCTTACTGGTAAAATGATAAGCAAGGCGGCGTGGATGATGATATATCCTTTATGATGATAAGGATGTTGTTGTTGATAATGATGTTGTTGCTTCTGCTGCTGATGATGATGATTATGATGATGATGATGATGATGATGATGTTGTTGTTGTTGTTGATGATGATGATGATGATGATGATGATGATGATGATGAATTAACGTTAACGAAGGTAGGTAAAAACGACAATGATAATTTAGTTTACTGTGTTAAATGTGTGACATATACGGTCAGACATTTACTACCAAATTGCAGAAACGTTATATGGCACCTATATACAATTCTGATTAATTCATATAATATAGACGTTGAAATATGAATTTTTTTCAAAACGGCTTATATTAAGTTTTTTTGATATATATGGTCATTATATGTGCTGGGATTGACAAATATGCATTTTATTTGGATTTCAAAGACGTTTTGAGCTCCACACCCCAAGTGTCTGTGCAGTAAGCCATGAGCACAGTTCAGCCATTGCGTTGTTCGTGGGCAGGCTGTCAAGCAGTTTACCAATACTAGTTGCCATCACTTTCGCAAAGAACTGAAACTTCTGGACATAGCATAGCAGAGGTACAGTGCGAATGACCGTGCCCAAACTTGTGTTTTTCATCTTCTATTTTATCATCTGGACAAAACAAAAAAATTCTCTGTATATCTAAGCTTAGGTAACAAGATTGACCAATTAGGGTGTTACCTTTAATAGAGCGATTTTACTGTGTTTCTAAGCTTAGCTAACATGATTAACAAATTAGGATGTTACCTTTAATATATCCGTTTTACTTTGTTTCTAAGCTTAGTTAACATGATTGACCAATTAGGATGTTCTCTGTAATATAGCGTCTGTACTGTGTATCTTAGCTTAGGTAACAAGATTGACCAATTAGGGGGTTACCTTTAATAGAGCGGTTTTACTGTGCATCTAAGCTTACCGAACAATGCGCTAAGAATTATTGGTTATTTTTAATAGACAAATTTTACTGAGTATCTATATAGACCTACATAACAAGAACAAGAATCATCAACTGGTACCTTAAGCATCACTGGTTATGTTTAGTGTGGTTTTACTGTATATGTCACACTCAAAAACAAAATCAAATATAACAGTTGAAATGATTCAACATTCACATCTGTTTCACTTGTTTAGTTTTTTATGTAACTGTCAATTATTTTGTTGTAAATAAACGTTCATTTGATTTACATCTTCCTACAAATTATATAAACGTTCGTTTAGAATTACATTAGATAAATATTACAACTCTCTGTAAGTGTCAAAGGATATTATCAATTATGTAGTGGTTTTTACCTGGTCACGTCAGAAAACAGTAATTGAAATACAATAGTCTGAATTATTTAGCGCTACAGTTGGTAATATTGTACATGGACAATACCCGGTAAATTGATGCTGTTTTATTTATAATATAAGGAATTCTTACGCTTCTTGAGCAGCCTTTACAAAAGGAATACAAACATGAGAAAAATACGAAAAGGTTGGTTATTTTCCTTACTTACGGAGACGATATTGGTTATAAAATATAATGTATGTTGAGATATTGTGATCCATATTCCAACCAAATCTTATGATATACTCTATCCTTACTGTTATCTTTAGGATTAAGTTTTTTGTTTGCTTTTGCTTGTATTTTACGGCGCATCAATACTGTTAATGTCATATGACGATTTCCCAGCATTTAGAACTGGTGGAGGAAGACATCAGGTGTCCCTCCCTGCATTATCTCGGGCATGAACTGGCATATACTCTTAGTAGAACTACCGGTGTTCCGTTAGCTTATCGAATAGCCAACCCGCATGAAAGCACAGCCACTTTAAGATGTGACATTATGCCCATGCAAGTGTTTATGTTGATAGAACAGGTAAGAGTAAACAAAAGTTTATATTTTGTCATATTTGTTTCCTATTTAATATTCTACTTTTTATGAATATTCACGTGGCACTCTGTAATTTGTATAAATATCCTGACGCACAGTGGAAAATAAGAAAGTGTCAGCCTCTATTATATTTTAGGCAGTTTTAGAATTAACCAAAACATTTCTAATTATCAGTTATTGGTCAGTCACCATTTAAATAGTATTATAAAATGTATATTTAATTTAACTCGACATCAAAAAATGATCATACTAGCTGCCACTTAAACATCACTTATGACATTGTCTTGCGGGGTTTTGTTACATACATTACCACAGCCGGTGTATGGTTAACATCTCCATATGTCACAGAAATGTCTTCAATAATATATCATTTAATTTTTACTTTATACTTTTCTAGGACTAAAGATTTTCCGGACTTACCCAAAAGTAATTTGTTTATGCGTTGGCTACATCTACATATGTATGAATTTTTTCGTTAAAACAACACCGGAACACCGTATTACACACAATCAAATGACTGCTGCGAAAACTACAAAAGTATATAAGCAAACAGACATTCGCAATATACCTTTGTGCAATATGTCTAGCTATATTGCATATGGTAGTGGCATTTGTTTTACAGTGTTGTCCGAGAGAAAGATTTCTTTACCATCAGATGTAATAATGGGTAAAACGTTAAAGCTGAGTCAGCAAAAAATAATGGAGACTGAAGCAAGCAGTAGAAATCATCTGAACGATAATTCATTGTCAAGAGAAGAAAACTGTAGCATTGATAAGGTTATTCAACATTGTCACACTTTAAGGGAATCGTATATGTTTGGAAAACATAACACTTCAATTGAAGAGAAGTTGTATCCACTAGCTTTTGCAATGAAAATTCATACACACGGTAACCAAGCACACAGACTTTTAAGATACATTTATCATCAACATAATATATACTGTATACATATCGATGGAAAAGCAGATATTGAAATCTACAAGAGATTCAAACTAATTGAGTCATGTTTTGATAACATTATTGTTATCGAAGATCGAGTACGTGTGGTTTACTCAACAATACGTGTTGTAGAGGCAGAGCTAAAATGTATGAAAGCTTTAAGTGGATCAACAACGAAATGGAAATATTATATCAATTTAACTGGACAAGAATTTATGTTGAAGACCAATGCAGAACTTGTGAAGATATTAAAAGCTATGAATGGAACTAATGATATTGAAAGTTATCCGGTACCATTTACAGAATATCATAAATTTAAACAAAGAACATTAATCATAAACGCAAATCCTATTATAACGCGTCAAAAGAAGCAAGGATTTCGTCAAAACATTATAATACATAAAGGAAGTGCTTACGGAATGTTCAGTAGAGAATTTGTAAATTTCATTTTAAATGACAATTTTGTGAAAGATTTTTTGATTTGGTTAGGAGACACTTACGCTCCAGAAGAATTAATCTGGGCAACATTACAAGTGTTGCCAGGTACTCCCGGAGGGCGTCCCAACTCAGTGTCCACCAAAGACAATTATATTTCACGGGCTGTCAAGTGGCAAATGGATCAAACAGTAACTTGTCATGGAAAATACGTACACTGGATTTGTATTTATGGTTTAGAGGATCTTCCATGGTTACTTAGTCATAGAAATATTGTTGCAAACAAATTTTATGAAGACTTTGACCCACTTGCCTTATATTGTGTTGAAAATATTATGTATTTAAGGTTAATGCATGGCAAATGATCACATTGATCTGACTTTATACAAGCAGTAACACATATTATCAAGAAACTTTCACACACAATTAAGAGTTGTTTCAAACTAAGTGTTTTAGTAATTTTATCTTGGAAAAGTACATCAAATCGTTGTTAACAACGCCGCGATAGGTATTTCATAGCGCGTCAGTGACATTCGTTTCTAAAAGAAGATTGGGAAACGAATCGCCACTTAATTTACATATTGAGAGCGTAATTGTTAATAAGACCTTCTTGTTTATATGTTTTATCGACGGCAAATTTCAGTTTCTACTTAAGTTCTTTTGACATGACAATTATATGAAACGATTTATGAATTATCTATAACTAACCTATTTAACCTTTTGGAGAGCCAAAAGCCGCTCTAAGCGACTTAATTAAAAATGTTGATAAGCCATGATTTGGTCTCAAGACATGTATTTATTAATAAACACTTAGTTCTTTTGCTCAACGGACACCTTTTGAAAGTCCGATTTCTCAAATACGATCGTTTTTATTAATCGTATAGATAAACAAGATCGAGACTGCACGTGGATGTTGCTGGTCGGGCTGTCACTTAGATAAGCACTTGAATGTTATTTTGTACTAACATTTCCGAAAATATCCTTTACAGCACATTGGAGGATAATGTTCAATCGGCTATGCCTCAATACAGAGGTTTTCAATATAGTGTTATTTTTCACATTTTTACCTTTGTTAACCGCATCTTTTTAAGATTGGCTTTTTATATATAATATATTGTTTTCTTTGAGTGAGATCCTTTGATTAATTTCATATGCATTCCCGATATACATTTGTAATGAATTACAAAAATACATGTATATATTTTCGGAAATGGACAATTACACCTTAGTTAAATATAATTTGTCAAAAATGCTGCAAAAGATGTGCATTATACTTCAATTATTTGTTTTCTTGTAAAACCTTTGTATATCCTTATTAAAATGATGTTATCTTTTCCATTTGCTTATACAATTAAATATTATTATTTTAATTTATTGATTGGTATTAGCCATTTGATATATGTCTATATAGATTATACGTACGTACTGTGTACGCATGGATATATTGCGTAAATGTATTTTGAAATAAATTTGAATAAACTTTTGAAACACTATATTATCAATTGCCAAAGTTCATTGCTCTTAAAACAGCTATTCTAACTTTAATCTTGTAAAAATGTGTTATAATTGCTTGAAATATAGAATTATATACAGGATTGATGACACTGATTTAGGCACATTTTTAATGTGACCCTGGAAGATACACCTACAAGATACATAAACCAAGGTCAACAAGTCAATATGACCATTAATATAAGTATTAACTAGTATCTTTGATTTAAAAATGTTCACACCCGAGTCTGTCGGTAACATAGGCTATTTACCGTCCACACGTATTAAATGTAACTAATATACGGAATGTATACCGTGGGTAACCCGGTTCCGACGATATGTAGAAAGCTGTGTTGGAAGACTCTACAAGCTTGTTTCATTCCGAAGATGTGCAGGGTACAAGGTATAATAAGTAGAGAACATTAAATGAGTGTAGGTTCAATACGAAATTTATTGAACGAGTTGAATAAAATAATCTACAAAAACTCCATTTTTCCGTTCTTACGAAAAATTGTTCAATTGATGTATCATTCGACTACGAGGCGTTAGTCTAGGGATCAAAACAATACTAAACAATTGACAATGTGCGACACCAAGCATTCAGATAATTTTCATATGTGCAGCACTAGCGCTCTATGGTCACACCAACTATAGTCTATAGCTCTATTCTAAGATTTTTTATATGATTGACAATGGACTCAATAAACGCATCTTTAACCTATAGAAATAATTGGTCAAGTGACGCCAACAATATTTGACATTAAGTCTTCAGAACGATTGTGAACCCATTTGAAGTGAATAATATCAAAAAACGGTTCAGTCTTTAGCCTGTATTTTAGAGTTTGTAATATGCAAAATTATAGGAAAAACAAAATCATTTTCACGAATGTGGTCAAGGAAGAATGTTAATGTTAGAAATAGTTTCAGTAGAATGTTGAAATTGGTGCAAGATATTCATTGTGTATACTTTATGAATGAACATATTGGGAAAGCAAAGCCTGCAATTTCCTTGATTGATCCAAATTGTTTGAGTTAGAAAAATAAAAATGGAAATATATGTTAGTTAGGGATCAGTCCGTTGGAGGAAAGTGTTGTAACAAACTCAGAACATATAGATTGTTAAAGTCAGATTTTGAAACTGAAAAATACCTTTTTAAAAATATACCCTTTCAATATAGATCTGCATGTACTAAATTTACATGCAATGTTGCTCCTCTTAAATTAGAGACTGGAAGACATGAAAATTTACCTTTAGATAGAAGATGATGTTTTAACTGCGAAGGTGTTGTTCTGTTTTATTGCCCTTTATATAATGAAGTCAGGGCTGTTTTAGTCTCAGCTTTAAATGATAATGTACGAGTACGTACATTATCATCATCACAAGCCGCAGTAGCATTTACAGCTAAAACTACATGCCATATTGACTCACCAATATTTCACCGAATTTTTATATGTATAATAAGCAAATATTACACCTAATAAGCGAAACACATACTTCGTGAGTATCGTACTGCAATATCGATCCCCGGTGATGCTTTGGTAGTTTAGCGCGGAGGAAGGTAGTCTAGTACTGGTGTAACTCTCCAGGAACAATGGTTAGGAAACTACCCACCTATATGACTGAAATACTACTGAAAAAGGGCGTAAAATGAAACAAACACACACAACAAACACGTGAAGAAAATAATTAATGAAATGTTTAAAAATCATTTTTCTTCCATGATTAGAAATTATTTTGATTTTGCTTATATCCAAGTCACGGCGTAATATGTAAAGCACATCAGTGAACCAGGGTTTGTGCGCGTAAGATAAACTAACAAAAACCGTATACATGTAATATGTTTTATAAACAGAAAAGAAAAAAATCGTTTTGAATAAATTTTAATGACGTCATTGGAATTTGTCACTACTTTGTGCATATTGGCACGCAGGCGGTCAGTGAATGGCTAGGTCCGAAAATATAGATATTCATAAATTAACGAGAGTTTGTAAAACAATAATATAAAATCGTGATATTTAATACTTAAAAAAGTAAAAGCATGTATATTCAACATGGCAATACATCTTATTAAAAACATAGGACACACATGCCCCATTACCATATTTATACAAATTCAATGAGTCAAGGGCTATAACTATGACAGCACTAACAAATATATAAATGATATCCCCGATGCACAAACAACATAATTATTGCTGACCAACATTCTTGTAAGGTTCTTGACTCTGCTTTAAACACCTTTAGCTAGTCAGCACACAAGTGGAAATTTCAAATTAAAACTCAGTAAGGACAAAACCTCTGGCATTACTGTGCAAATCCACACGAAAACCTCACGAGCACAACAATATATATGCTTACAAACATTGATATGAAAGTTAATGACGCTAGCTATATATAATTGTTTCTTAACAACATGCATGGAAATTGCTGATTTCGACTAAGTAAAGGCTATAATTCTGGAATAAATGCGGAAAAATTAACAAGCGAAACCCAATGTACACAACTTCACATCCTATGAAATACCCACGTAAAATTTCAATACCTTAGCTCAAATACCGTTTTGTCTACATGCGACAAATTTATACATTGTAAATTTGTACTAAGTGTAGGCATTACTGAGGTAATCGACATAAACCTCAGGTGAACATACATTCATGCATGTTTCATGACAATGCCCCTAGTTCAAATACTGTAGAAGCTACACGCGACATAAGTTGACAATTCCGATTTGACTAAGTCAAGGGCAATATCTCTGGCATGACTGTTCAAATCGGCAAGCGCAACCAAGGTGCACAATAATGTAATGCTGACCAACGTTCATGTAAAGTTTCATGACCCTAACTACACGTAGACGGACACGGGCGCATGGACAAGTAAAAAATTAAAACACCCATCCCCCTCGATATTTTATCTTCAAGTCAATAAATATTAATGTGGAAAATATTTAGCACATATTTTCGACAAAGCCAGTCAGTCACTGTGTATGGACACAGAAGTCATCTTACTGGTAAAATGATAAGCAAGGCGGCGTGGATGATGATATATCATTGATGATGATGATGATGATGATGATGTTGTTGATAATGATGGTGTTGTTGTTGTTGATGATGATGATGATGATGATGATGTTGTTGTTGTTGTTGATGTTGTAAATGATGATGATAATGATGATGATGATGTTGTTGTTGATGATGATGATGATGATGTGGATGATGATGATGATTATGATGAAGATGATGATGATGATGATGTTGTTGTTGTTGTTGATGATGATGATGATGATGATTATGATGATGATGATGATGATGATGATGATGTTGTTGTTGATGATGATGATGATGATGATGATGATGATGATGATGATGATGATGATGATGATGATGTTGTTGTTGTTGATGATGATGATGATGATGATGATGATGTTGTTGTTGTTGTTGTTGTTGTTGTTGATGATGATGATGATGATAATGAATTAACGTAAACGAAGGTTGGTAAAAAAGACGATGATTATTTTAGTTTACTGTGTAAAATGTGTGACATATACGGTCAGGCATTTACTACCAAATTGCAGAAACGTTATATGGCACATACAGACAGCTGTGATAAATTCATATATCATAGACGTTGAAATATGAATTTTTTTTCAAAACGGCTTTTATTAAGTTTTTTTGATATATATGGTCAGTATATGTGCTGAGATTGACAAATATGCATTTTATTTGGATCTTAAAGACGTTTTGAGCTCCACACCCCAAGTGTCTGGGAAGTAAGCCGTATTGAATTTACCAGAGCACAGTTCAGCGATCGCGTTGTTTCTGGGCAGGCTGTCAAGCAGTTTACCAATACTATATAGTTGCCTTCACTTTTGCAAGG